AAAATATTGCAAATATCTCTGTATTAGTTTTTCTAATTCTGTATTTGTTAAAACATTCTTACTTTCTTATCTTTTACTTGGAGTTGTTCAAGTATCGATACATTTATTCGACGTTCAACCCAGGATTTTGTTACCATGTGGCAGTATACCCAAATCTCGAAAGCCCCTATTTTATATTTTTGTTTTTCAGGGTCCACGTTTCCGATGCATATGTGTCTATAGAAAAAATTAGTCCTTTTATCAGCCTTAATTTTATGAGCACTGTTATGGTCGAGTTTTTCCAAACTGTTACCAGTTTCATCATCGCTGATTTTGCAATAGGTATCTCTCCATCGCATTCTCCTTCGTTTGTAATAAGTGAGGTATATGAAAATATTTATTACTTCAGAAACATCAAATCTCTTTAATGTGTTGAAGACTGTTCTGTGATCTGTTTACTATCATGATTTTTGTCTTACTCATGTTTAGCTGTAGCCCAAATTCTTTGGTTTTTTGTCCTCTATGCGTCTTATTATGTTTTCCATTTCTTCTTGTTTTGAAACGAATATAAATATGTCGGCGGCTCATCCCTGGTTACTACTTTTCTCTTCTCCAGCCGATATTATAGCCCTCCATCCATCTAAAATATAGTACCTATTGCATCATGTCTTTGCTATAAATATTAAACAGAATTGGAGATATTATGCAGCCCTGTCCAACCCCAGTTTCTATTTTGAAATGAGCGGTGTCTATTTCTATTCTTTTTATATACACTGTCTAGCATACAATTAGGGTAACCCCGTTAATTTGAATTTATAGTAGAAATTATTATTCTTTTTTAACTATTTTCGGTTGTAGCATAGTTTACTAAAGGACTGCTTAAAGAAAATATCGTGTTTACCATCAAAGTTTATTGAAAGTATTGAAAATGAACAATTTTTCTTTTATATACTAAATATTGAAAAGGAATGAGTTTAGTTTGATTTGATTTTTGTTGAAACAAAAGAAGCTGTAGAAGATTATTCTATTCCTGCTTGCACTTAAATTTTACTGCACGTTTTAGGTTTTTATTTCTGATGTTTCTGAAGACCATCGAGAGTTCTGTTTGCTGTTGCTAGGCGTCTTTTTACTGCGTCTCTTGTCGTGCTTATGGTATTTATCAGCGATCTACAAGAGATGCGAATTCTTTGACATTCTTAAAAATATAGTTATTAATTTGGATTCTGTTGAACATTTTGAGGTGTCCAACATATATTTAATTTTTCCTCGTTAACAACAAGTCCTAGTTTACTTGTCGCGTTCGTAAACTTTGTAAATCACTATACTACGGCTCTTATTCTTTTGTCCACTATAACGATATCATCAGCGAATGCGAGAATTTGTGTTGGTCTATTAAAAATGGTTCCATTCAATTTAATATTTATCTGCCAGACCACCTTTTCCAAGGCAATTTTAAAGAGAAGGCTCGCTAGTACGCTGTCCTAGACCATTATTATTATTAAAGAACGTACAGTTTTCTCTTTGAATTCTAATGAACGAGCCTAATAACGACGTTAAGTTGATTATTGGTGACATAAAGGCTAAGGTAAGACAAGAAGAGATGTTCAGACCAACCGTAAAACCTCATAACATACACAAAGAATGTAATAATAATGGGACGAGACTTGTAAATTTTGCAGCAACTCTAAACATGACGACCAGTAGTATTTACATACTTTTAACGTAAGTATATACATAAATTAACGTGGACATCCCAGATCAACAAACCCAAAATCAGATAAACTCCGTAAGGATTGATTCAAGATCATCATCATCATCATCATTCCTCAACCTCTTGCATCCACTGTTGGGTATAGGTCTCCTCCATGTTCTTCCACTGTTCTCTATCTTGCGCCTTCTGTATCCAATTTCCGACTGTTTTTCTCAAGTCGTCCATCCATCTTTTTGGTGGTCTGCCTTGGTGTCTTTTGTCTTCTCTAGATCTCCATTCTATGAGTCTTTTGGTCCACCTATTATCATTTAAACGTTCTATATGTCCAGCCCATCTCCATTTGGCTTGTGTAATTTTTTCTATGACATCTGTCACTTTAGTCCCCTCTCTCACTATCCTATTTGGTACTCTTCTAGTTATTCCCAACATTGCTCTTTCCATTTTTCTTTGGGTTACTTTCAATTTATTTGCAGAATGTTTGGTTAAAGTTATTGTTTCGGAACCATATGTTATTACTGGCAGTATGCATTGGTTGTAAACCTTTTTCTTCAAGCTGATTCAAGATATGGATCAAATATACTAGAGTTATAGAGGCGCTAATATTGACTCCGATCACTGGGAGTCTCAGATCACGTATATTAAATGTCAGGAACGATAAGACTAAGCCAAAAATATACAAATATAACGTTGATAAATTAAAGTATACTGACGTAAGAATTTTTTAAATTATGCTGAATTCGTAAACTATCATAATATCCCAGAAGTGAAGTAGATCCCACCGAATCTAACACAAATTGGGAGTTTGTACAAACCACGTAGCAAAAGACCGCAGATAGTGTATTGAGTGTGGGTCCCAAAGGGCAGCGAAACAACTGGTTTTATGAAGAATGCAAACGATTAACCAAAGAGAAAAATAACGCGTATCTGAAAATGATGAACAGAAGGACTAGGAGCGGAATGTCGAAGAATATAGAGAAAAGAAAAGAGAGAAAAAACAAGAATACAAACATAAAAAGTGGCAATAAATCAATAAAGAGTTCGAAGAAATGGTAAAATTAAATAAAGAACACAAACACAGAAAATTTTACAAACAGGGTAACACAAAAACAAAAGTTTTTAAGCCACAAGCGAACCAAGTCAAGGCTCATAATGGAATTATTCTGAACGACAAAGCATAAGTGCTGAAAAGGTGGCAGGAACACTTTAGTACGCTACTTAATAGAGAAAGTACAGCTGAAGGTAGAGATGATATAGAACTAGAACAGGAGAAGACTAAGTTACTAATGTTAACAACTTTGGAAGAAATTAAGAAAGCAATTCATTCTCTAGTCGGAAACAAGTCACCCGGAGCAGATAACCCACCCGCAGACATATTTAAATGTGGCGATTAACCATTTGTAAACCTCTTTCGCAAACTATTAATACAGGTATAAAAAGAACACGCTTCACCAGAAGATCGGAATACTGGAATTAAATGTCCTATACACAAAAAAGGAAACTTGCTTGACTTAATACGGCATAAAAAATTTTGTCCAGTATACTGACAATATAATAGAATTATACCAAAGAGGCTTTTTGAAAAACAGATCTACAATAAATCACATCATCCATTAGACAAATATTTGAAAAAACGACAAAGTAGGACATAGCCTGTCATTATATATTCGTAGATTTTCAGGCAGTGTACGATACTGTTGACAGACTTCAATTATATTCGGCTATACTCGAATTTGGAATATCAAAAGAATAAGTATTATTAATTAAAATGACAATGAGAAAAGTTGAATGTAAAATGCGAGTACAATAAACTTAACGGGTACGATATGATATATACATGCCGGCTATATCAAGATTGCAACAAAATAACTTAAAGATGTAACACGAAACTATGAATAACGATGCAAGAGTTCTGCTACTTAGAGTCACTGTTTGACTGCAAAAACAACACATCAAAAGAAATAAGAAAATGACTTACTACAAATATTTGAAATAAAAGTATTAAAAACCATATATGGCGGAGTTAACGAACTCGAGATTTTTTGGTGATACAGATATGGTAAAAATCATCAAAATAAACTGCCCAAGATGGGTGGGCCAAGTTATACGGATGGATGAAAATGATCCTTCTAAAATAACCCTTGCTAAATAGGCTGGTCGGTAGAAGAAGAAGGGGTGACCTAAACTCAGGCATCTGGACGATGTGGAGATTGAAGTAAGGAGATAGAGAAGACAGAAACTCGACAGGGAATGATGGAAGAATTATTTGAGGCAGGCCAGGGCTCACGAAGGGCTGTAGTGCCAACCGATGATGAGATATTCGAATATCGATACTGGTTCGATTCTTATTTTGGTATGTAAATATCTTTAGGTATGTAAATATCTTTGAGATTATAAAATACACGTATATAATAACATAAACTTAGCAGTCTGTAGAGCTAAGTGAGGACACCATCTTTTTTTTTTCGGTTTTTCGTTGTGTCTGTGTTACATGAGGTAAGTATTGCACCGTATCTTTTTGGTGGGAGAGAGAGTGAGAAGTTTCTATGCGATAGAGAGAGATGGAGACAGATCGAACAAACGCAAGAAATCTTGTCGTTAGAAACGCGTTGTCGGTATGCTCGGTCTATGTTAATAAAAAGGTACCTACGTCTATGGATTATAATGATTCTTTTCTTTAACTACCTCAGCAATCTGTCTTTATGTCATGTTTCCTCAATGATATTTTTCTCACTTACTTGTAATAGGTATATTATATTAATAAATATTTATATTTGTTTACTGTTTTGTACTTATGTATGTATTGTTTGTATCTACATATTATTTATATTATAGTTTTATCTATTATTAATAAATAATAGATAAAATTAAAATATAATTAATAGATACACACAATACACACAATAAGTACAATTTAAATGGATAAAAATGGATTTCTTTAATAAAATAAAATAAAATATTATAAATAAACATACTCATGTGTAATTATGCATATTGTTAAGGTCAGTTTAAAAAAATTTAAACAATAATGGCAATTAATAGAAATAATAGCATAATACCGAAATTGTTATATAGTTATAATATTATGTTTAATTACTTTATGAGTAATAACAAATAATTTTAAAACAAAAAAATATAACTTTATTTTGCGTATAATGAAAACTTCGTTTAAAGTGTTGGCCTATATATGTTCCGTACCAGTGGATAATCCGTCCGCAAGAATTTCCCCAACGGATCGATATTTTCCTTGACAACGGTGCTTTTGTCTAAAAATTCAATATAAACAACTCGAAGTGCGAGAGTTTAAAGTGCAATGTACAATCACACTTCTTCCGTCTACAATAATTCATGTGTTAAAGTTCCACGAAATCCAATAATTGGGTTGCCTCTGCCAAGTTACGAACAAAATTACAAATATCTTATTGAAAATCAAGATAGAGCACTGAATATTAATTTGATGGAAACGAAGAAATACTTAGACAAGGAAACAACCAAATCTTTCGTGGAATTTTTTACAAACATTCCCGATTACGACGAAATTCATCATCTTTCAAATAAAGAGTTTTACGAGAAACTTGAAAATTTAAGAGAAAAGAAAAAGTTGTTCGAAGAAAACTTACACAAAGAAATTAAATTCGACCCAAAAAATTCTGAAGCTATAGAAGAATATAAGAAGCAGAAACTTGGTGCAAACAAAAGTAAAGAAAAGAAGAAACCTACCATCAAACCATCAAACAGAGCTACCAGAGTTAAGGAAACATTAAATCCTATATTGACACCCGATATCGATTCAGAATTTTCCGACAGAGAAGAACGTAAAGAAAAGAAGAAATCATCACTAAAACCATACTTTAATCATCTAAGTAAGAATTTACATCCAGCAATAACTCCTGATTTAGATTCAGAGTATTCAGACAAGGATATTTTAAACAAACCTCCTTCCAGAAGATCAGTAAGAATAGAAACTCCCAGTGACAGATTTTCTAATGACGAAACTCCAGAACCATTTTTCAGATCAAAGTCAAGAGCAAACATTTCCTCTAATAACTTTAAAAGAAGTGCAAGCCTTACAGGATGGGATGACTGGAGATCAAAATCTAGAACACAATTTTCATCGCTTGATTTGAAAACCAGAAATAACGGATATTCAGATTATAATTTTAAACCTAATAGCTCCTATTCTTCCCAAAATTTTAGAAGTGGAAATCTAACTGATTATGAAGACTTAAAATCAAGATCCGGTGGAAATTACTTAAAAAGTACTGGAAATCTTTCTCATTATGAAGATTACAAACCATTCAGTGATTTTAAAAATACAAAGGTAAATTGTGAAGATTTAAATTTAAAATCAAAAACAAATTATGAAGCTACTAACAACAAATCTAAGAGTTCAGAGCTCAAAAGTATCGATAACAGTGATGCCGATGGTTTAAGGCCAAAGTCAAGAGCAAATGATCTTAAAACTTCAGGTAATCTTACTGATTGGGAGGATTTAAGCATTGAAAACTTAAATTTAAATTCAGTGAGCAACAGTCCGGAACCTTTGCAAACGAGAAGTGCACCAACTTCTCCAGTGAAATCAAATCCTAAAAATGATTGGACTGGGGAAATTACAATCCCAAAACCATTTCAGATGACTGTCAGGTAATAAAACAATTTTATTTATTATTAGAACGTTTTGTATCACTTTTCTTATACATAAATTATTCCAAATAAAAACTATTTAAACCTAAAATTTTCACCTAATTTAATAGCAAGATATTTTGTAGTGTACTAATATTAGTAATACATTTCAACTATTTTTTTGGGATTCCTAGAGCCCTGTATAAGGACCGTTGTAATTTTCTGTCATAAAAACTGTACTGTCGTGCATTTTAAAATCAAGTTATGACACATCTCATTTGAATTTTTTTTAAATCATATACATATCATATCATTTTTAATCATATACATAAGATATTTTATTCACAAATGTTAGATTTTGTTAAATACATTGATATCTCTCGGGAAAGAGAAATGTGGGACGTAGGAGGATTTCCTGGTTGCGAAATTTAAGAGAGTGGTATGGGTGCAGTTCAATACAGTTGTTCAGAGCTGCAGCCAACAAAGTAAAGATTGCTGTGATGGTAGTCAACCTTCGATAGGAGACGGTACTGCAAGAAGAAGGATATTGATATCTTTAAGGAATTTTACCAAAAGTTCAATTTTATAATTTTCTCCAAGATTTTACTTGTTGATCCGATGATGTGGTTGTTCTGTTGAACTGTTCTACTGGTTTTGCCACAGATTTTTGACTTTCACTTTAATAAATCATTTTAAATAGTTAAGAACTACATCTCTCACTTCACTCGCGGTTTCACTGTTCCTGGCTTGTTGGGCTGTACGATCCGCTTCTTCACTTCCGTGAAGGCCAATGTGTGAAGGAACCCATAGGAATTGTACAGTATAGTTGTTGTTTTGAACGGTAGCTATACTAAAACAATTTTTAATTGAAGGTGATTACTTGGCAACATCGTACTTAACGAAGCCCTTAACGATAACTTTTCAACGAAATCGCATTGAAATTATCAATTTTGCAGAGGCGTACCAAAAAAATTTTTAATTATTTATTTAAACACATAAGTAATTACGTAAAAATTAAATCTAAGACCGATTTAATTATTAAATTATCATGTCTCTTTTAACAGGTATCTTATAGTTGTCTAACAAAATAAAATAAAATTTTATTCTTATTAGAGAGTATCTAATACAGAACTTCAAAAAACAGAAAACTTTGGAAAATATTTTTTTTTTTCATTAGACTAAAAACAATCTGCAATTTTAATTACACATAATTACACATCATTCTCTATTTATAGAATTGCCGTGTGCTGTAAACGTTATATTTGTTTTTTTTTTAACTTAATTTGAAAGTTTGTTGTGTTTATTCGTTTACATAAATATGAAAATATATTATGAAGTTCATATAAATTAAAATGAAGTAAGCTAAACTATTATCATATGAATGTGTTTATATAGCAGTGCATTTGTTTATTTCAGTAATTTCTCGAAATATGAAATGAAGATGGCACTAACTACTAAAGAGTTAGAAGAAGAAGACTTTGTTAGAAGAAGACTCAGATTGTGAAAATGGCACTTAATGCGGTTTATTTGCCGCCGAGATTAGATTAGAAAGTTTCTGATGTAGAAGACATTGATCTTCTTCTTCTTCTTCTTCCTTCTAGTTTGTAGGCTTTAAAGCCTGTTTCTTCTTCAATATTAGCTTCCTAAATTGTTTAAATTGTCGCAACATCTTTTTCTTGGTCTGCCAATACTTCTTCGTCCATTTGGTGACTTATCTTGTGCTATTTGTACTATTCTATCCTCCGCCATTCTACTGATGTGTTTGTTCCACTTTTGTTTTCGTTTTGTCACCCATCCATTTATGTCTTCTATATTGCATGCTCTTCTTATGTTTCTGCTTCTCTCCCTATCCAACATACTTCTCCTTGATATTCGTCGGAGTATTTTCATCTCTGTTGTTTCTAGCAGTCGTCTCGTTTTAGATGTGTCAGGTCTTGTCTCAGCCGTGTATATAGGTCTAATTCCTGCTTTATAGATTCTTGTTTTTGTGTCTTGTCTTAGGTGTTTGTTCTTCCAGATTGTGTCATTAAGAGAACCCGCCGCTTTACCTTCTTTTAAGCTTTGCTGTCGTACTTCTCCTTTAACATCTCCGTAACTAGTTATATCTATTCCCAGATATCTAACCCTTGCTTCCGGCTTTATTATTTTCCCATCAATTTCGATTTTACGCCGTAGTGGATATTTAAATGTCATACAGTTGTATTTTTCCGCTGATATTATCATATTGTATTTCTTAGCTGTTGTATTGAAGATATGTGTTAATCTTTAGAGCTCATCTTCTGTCTCGGCGATTAATGCGGCGTCGTCTGCATAACATAATATTTGGATTTCTTTGTTCCCAATTCTGTAGCCATGACTTTTACGTACTACTTGTATTATTTCGTCCATTAATATATTAAAGAGAAGTGGACTTAACGAGTCACCCTGTCTCCGCTTTGTACCGGTATACACTGTGTTAGTTTTCCATTTATCTTTGCTTGTATTGGATTATGGAGATAGATGCTTTCGATGGTTTGTATAATATTGATTGGTATGTTCCTTTTATACAGTAGGTGTGAGACGTCTGCGACTTGGATGCGATCGAAAGCCTTTGTCAGGTCTATAAAACATAGATATGATGGCCTTTTCTGTGATTTGTCTTAGTACAAATACGGCGTCTACGCAGGATCATCCGGATCTGAATCCTTGTTGTTCATCTGATAAAGTTGTTAGTTTATTGATTTTGTTGGTTAGGACTTTTGTGGTAAGCTTAAGTGCGGTGTTTAGTAGATTTATACCTCTATAAATGTTGGGGTCTTCTTTATCTCCTTTCTTGACCATTGGTATCATTATGCTGTTTCTCCATGCGTCTGGTATCTTGCAGTGCAATATTAGTTTTTGTATAAGTTTTGTCATCTCTAGGCTTAAACTTTCTCATCCGTATTTGAGAAGCTCGTTGGTTATTCCATCTGGTCCTGGTGACTTTCTATTTTTCAGTGAATTTATGACTATTTCTACTTCGTGAAAACTGATTTCTTTTTCGTCTCTTAGTACAGGTACGTTATTGGTTGATTATTATTTTCCTTTGCTTTAAACAGTTCCGTCAGGTATCTTTCCCATTCATTTGCTGGTATATTATTGTATTCCTTGAAGATATTGATGATAATATTATTTGTGAAGAATCAATAAAATCGGATATTGCAGGTACATATGAAATACAAGTGATTGGGAATTCTAACGATTCTAATTATGATATTCCTCTGAACCACAGATAAAACGTCCAAAGAAAAAACCAATAAGTAAAAATAAGGCAAAAATAGTAAATCCAAATTTATCTCAAGTTATAATAACGCATATTCTTTCGTACTCAGTAGTAATTCAACATGTCTGATTGATATTTAGACAATATAAAAGCCAACCATGTAGGCAAGTCATATATTGAAGTTTTTTCACTCTTTTTGATAAAAAAGTAATTGAGAATAACTGTCACAATTTTGAAATGAATAACATAGATTTAAAAAAATTATTAACATATGTATATTATCTGGTTTACACTCTGCTTCAAGTTGATATGCATTGGTCAAAGGATGAGGATAAAGAAGTGCATACTATAAGAGAAAGCATGAGCCGACATAGATTTATAATTATAATTTATAATAGTGAAGAAACCGCTACATCAGTGTCAGTACATGGGCGTCAATCTAAATTTGCTTTACCAGATGAAACCAGATTCGACAATATTGGCCACATTATAAAAAGAGACGATAGTGCAAAAATGTAGGATGTACAAAAGTAATAATATTTATTTATCTAAAAAGTGTAGAATGCATCTACATCCCGAATATTTCGAAAATTTTTACCTTAAAATTTAATTTACGTTTAAGATATAATATGTTCCTTTATTAAAAATTGTACTGTTTTCCTTAAAAATGAGAAAAAAAATCTTTCTGGTTGTAATTTATTCCGAATTTGTGTTTTTAATCCAATCTAATAAATTAATTGTCAAATTTCTCTTTGTATATTGAGCGGCCGTTAAGGGTTTAATGCTATATAAAGAATAAACTGGCCTTAAATTAACTTTACTTACCTCAAAACTATTTTAAAGTTAATAATAAAGTATATTTAATAAATATATTCCCAATAATACACTACGCCTATTTACATTGTATAAAATCTGGAAGATATCATATTTCATAAACTTCAATAAGCTAAGATATCATATTTCTCTAATTAACATTCTTTCTAAAAACGTAAATATATATAGACCAGCAAAATATTGATAATTTTACCGATGTTCCAAACTATTCTATGAACTTGTCTCACTATACACTCGTGAATCGCACCAATTTATACTGTTACGGGGGCAAATTTATCTTAGATGGGTTACAAATTTACATATTTACATGGGCGAAGCATACAGAATAAAAATGATCCCGGTAAGAATTTACTAATGAAATTTTTCATGGTTGCCGCTACCGTTTAGTTCAATTTGTAGATTAGTCACCTTTAATTATTGAAAATTGTCCGACTATAGTTCTTTTTTGATTAGGAGAGCAATTGGATGCTTTGTGTACAGTGGGTAATGTTATTGATGGAACTGAGGAAATCGGTAATTATAAGAGCATTGAATATATTACGGTGTATAATAGTTTAATATTTGGAATAATGACAGCTGTCCCAACTCCAATAGATGTTTTAGAAGCGTCTGTGTCTATATGATATGATTTAGAAATTGTTTTTTAGTTTGTTGATGAAAGTATTTTTTATTAAGAAGTGTGTAGTATCGTTCTTTCTGAAGATATTTAAGGATATATCGGAATGAGGAATGCTTAATGTCCAAATAGGAGGAATTTCTATGAAGTTGGAATAGGTATTTGGTATCGGAGTTTGTAAAGTTCTAAGGGTTTGCCTAACTCTTTCGTAGAATGGCGGTTTTATGTTCCTATTTTCAGTATATAGGTTTTTTAATCAGTATTAGATATTTTAATTTTTAATTTAATACTATCGACAACAGTAAAACAGCTTAAACAAAGAAGTAAAAA